ATCCAAGCTTACAATCACTTTTTATATTTACATTCTTATAAATTTTATTCGCATCTTGCCTCTTTTGACAATTCTTTTAAAAATCTCCTTTGCTCCGGCTTCCCTGGTGGTGCAGTGGTTGAGAGTCCGCCTGCTGATGCAGGGGACATGGGTTCGTGCACCAGTCTGGGAAGATCCCACATGCCACGGAGCGGCTGGGCCCATGAGCCATGGCCACTGAGCCTGCGCGTCCGGAGCCTGTGCTCCGCAATGGGAGAGGCCACAACAGTGAGAGGCCTGCGTACCGCAAAAAAAAAAAAAAAAAATCTTTGCTGAATTCAGGTCCCACAGACAAAATATAACTGTTAGTATGTCTTCTATACCTAAACTATTTGGGGGTTTTCTTGACAGCTCTGGGCAACACCAAGTGTTTGCTTTCTCATGTTAGTAAGGAAGATACAAGAAAAAAGTTAGCATCTCCAGATTTTTAATTAGGTCAACACCAGAGTACAAAAAAAAATTAACAAAACAAAAAGAGAGTCTCAACTCCTTCTGGGTTAATTATACACATATAATTCCAAAATGTTGTCAATATAAACAGCTTTCAGCAATTGTGTTACTCTCAGTCTGCATAGAAGCCAACTTAAGTTCATATGTACAAAGACTGGCATACTTGTCAACAAGTTGATTTGTTTTTTTTCCAAAAGAAATATTTTGTTTCCAGGTTTAATATAACTCTTCGGCAGAAGACAATCATACACACATTATAGGATGAATTAGAGGGCTCTGAGGATTCTTCTATGCTCTTGTATTAGCTTGGTAGGACTTCCATAACAAACTCGCTAGCTCAAAGCAATAGGAATTTATTGTCTCATGGCTCTGGAAGCTATAAGTGTGAAATCAAGGTGTCAGCAGGGTGGGTCTTTCTGAGGCCTTGAGGGAGAATCTGTTCCATGCCTCTCTCCTAGCTTCTAGTGGTTTGCTAGAAATCTTTGGTGTTTCTTGGCTTCTGCTGACCCACCCAGTCTCTACCTTCATCTTCACATGGTGTTCTCCTTGTGTGTATATCTGTGTCCAAATTTCCTCTTTATATAAGGACACCAGACATACTGGATTAGGGGCCCACCTTACTCCAGTCTGACCTCCTCTTAAATAATTACATCTTCAACAACCCTATTTCCAAATACGATCACATTTTGAGGTACTGGCGGTTAGTATTTCAACATATAAATTTTGACGGGATAAAATTCAACCCATAACAGCCTGAATGTTCATAATATGTTCTTACCCTCAGTGTAATATTTGACTAAATCACTATAAAATTATTATGCATTGTACCTCAGTGAAGATTTCCATTCTCCTTCACTCCAGTGTTGTGGGTTTTATAATACTTTAAGAGGAAACACTTTTAATCATCAAGAGGCAGTTTCTGCTTCTCCCTCACCCATGCCTAAATCAATGCTTTTTAAGCTGTAAAGTACATTTCCTCATCTGGGGAATCTTGGTGAAATGCAAAGTCTGATTCAGTAGACCTGGGGTGGGACCTGAGATGCTTTATTTCTAACAAGTGTCTAGATGATGATGATGATGATCTGAGAACCACACCATGAGTAGCAAGAACATAAAGATACCTCCACAAGCCACGGATCAGAAATTAAGTCAAAAGTCCAAAACAAACAAACAAAACAATTGCCTCAGCAAAAGACTGTACCAGATAGTCTTAACCATTGACGTTATAGAGAATGAAGTGGTGTGAACAGATTTTCCATTATAACCTGACATCATCACCACGGACACCTGTCAGAGGATAGAGAAAGCTAAGGCTTTCCATTTCTTTTAGCCCTGTTGCAAATGATTTTATGAAAGAAGAATCATTAACCCAAGATCAGCAGAACAAGAATTAATTACCTAGGACTTAATGAACTGATTTAATTGTGGTTAATTTTCTACTTTCTAATAGACATAGGAGAAACCCATTCCTTCCTGTCTGTCTCTAGCCTTCAATTTAATAGGCTATATTTGAACTAGGTGGGATGAAAAACTCTTTACATGGTATATTATCCTGACTTGCACCTCGGAACAAAACATATCCTATAAAAGATCCCCAAATGGGTTATAAACTAATATAATAAAAAATGTTTCTGCAAAAATAATATCTTCAGCTATAGTATTTCATGCTTATTGCCTCAGGAAGAGGGATGTCATCATAAAAAGAAACTGACAAAAGTCAAATGTTTGGCTTTGAAGTTTCCAAAACCAAGTTCAATGATCAGTCATTATTTGGAAGACTTGGAAGAATAAGTCATAATTCAGAGTCAAGGTCCAGATCTGAGTGCAAAGAGACAGTGTCTTTTGATTCATATTTCGCTTGTGAATTTTGCTTAACTACATGTATTTAGTCACCAAGCATTTAAAAGAAAATATCAGAGGTATTATTGGCTTGTCTTAATTACTTTAAAGAAACTCTGTTCCTTTTTGTACAAATTACAGACCAACTAACCATCCCCAATCATTACTTGCCCTCCCCACCCTCCGTACGGTCCCAAATGCAACCCACAGGGCCTGGGGGCTTTGCTGATGCCAGGCCACACAGATCAGCTTTCCAGAGTATACAGCAGGGTGGAGAAGGGTATAGAGTAAATCTGTAGGGACACAGGGGAGATATATATGGCACATTCTGTCTTTTTATATTATTTGTCATATTGCTGAACACATAGGTCAGCCTTCCTCCCCTTCTCCCTCTCTCTCCAAAAAAAGAACCTTGAAAAATTAAACCTTGGAACCAGGACAGAATTAGGAGACAGAAGTTCACTACCAGCTCTCTGTTTCTCACACACTGCACGCTCTCCCTGGAGCACCTCATCTACTCCTATAGCCTCACTTACTGTGTATATGAGACAGGCTGGGACCTGGCGCCTGGGACCCTTTGCTGCAGTGCTTGCACCTGGACAAACGTCTCCTCCAGCAACAAAATACAAAGAAACTGTAAGGGACTAAAAATAACTGCACGTGTGCACAGTTGGGGAAAATTATGGACAACAAGATACAAAAAGACCAAAAACCCACACAGCACCAACCAAGGGGGAAGGGCAGGCCATCTAAACCACCCCTGCCCCTAACAGACCCACCCCTTATCCTCACCCTGTGTAAGGAACAAGTTCACTCCCCTCAGGGAGTGAGCAAGGGAAACTGTTATGTGTTCTCGCTCCCTCCTGCTGCAGCAGGAACCCCAACAAAGACTTGTGTGAATTTCTTGTCTGGCCTCTTATCAATTTCTATTGATTAAGGAGGCCAAGAACCCTGGTTGGTAACATATGTGCTGATGACTTTAAAATCCACAGCTCACCCAGCTCTTGCCCCTCCACTCTAGATGGGCATATCTGCCTTCTGGGCAACTACACCTGGATGTCTCACAGCCTTCTCAAATTACGATGTCCAAGAAAGTATCCACTATTTACTGCATAATATCTAGACCAAGTCACAAAGCCAGTCGCCTGTTTTTTCTGTTGTTGTAGTTGTTTGCTTTTTAATTTTTCTAAAATGAAGTAGAAAGTCTTACAAGAACCCTGTTATGATGAGGAAATTAAGGCTAAGAGGGGTTAAATGACTTGCAGAAGACCTCACAGCTGAGAAGCAAAGGAGCTGGGTTTCCAACCTACACAGCCTAACTTCAGAACATGTGTTCTTTACTTCTCTGCAGTATTGAACACAGATTATTCTTACTCTCCAGGCAGAGGGGCTAAAAGGTCATGAGCTAGGTGCTGCCAAGTCTGCCATTGTAGAGGCTAGGAGTGAAGAAGGGGAGAAGGTGATACAATAAGTCTTGGAGAAGCTGGAGAAGAGAGATTATAAGGTGATAATAGCTAAGAAATAGGATTTTTTTTCTTCTTTTTTTTCTTAAAAAATTACTTAAACATGCATTGGGCTAGAAAAGTAATGGGGACAATTTCAGTCTAATGGAGAAGATAGGTAAATACAATATAATGAAATTTAGAAGTTAAGATAGACTTGTATGCAAGGTTCACAGAACATTAGAGAAATTAGATACACATGGAATTCATTCGTTCATTGCATTTATTTAAAGGGTATTTCCTGAGTCCCCACTCTGTTGTGCTAGAAGCTGGAGAAACAAAATGGAAAAAGGTACAGTCCTTGTCCTGAAGAAACTCACAGCCTGGTGGAGATGTTTCTGAGGCAGCAATTCAGGTACAAAGAATGGCGCTACAAGGGCAGGGAAGGATTACACTGCCTGCAGCGTTCAGACAATGCCAACTGTCTAGTTAGCTATTACCTGAGCGAAAAGTTAAGACCATGGCTTGACAACAGAAGAGGACACTAGAAAGGAACACAATGGACAGGTCTGAAAGGGCTTGGGTTTTTTACTATGACAACCCAAACTGCTTTTGGTTGCAATCGCCAGGGTACACGCATTTTCCTGCAGTATCTGTTTTATTAAAATAATCTGGAGTACAAAAACACACTTTAAAAATATATATGGATGTATTATGTCGTTGACTGCAACAGCATATAGTAAGATATGACAGGAAGGAAATTCCACAGATGGGTAGGCAGATGGCTCTCTCCACAGAAGAGTCTGGGGCGGGAGTTCACGGTGATCCTCAGCTCTCAGAGGGTTTAGGGCAAGATACTTGGAGAACATTGAGTTAAGAGTGCGAGAGAAACGTACGAGTTAAATACACGGACTGCGGACAGGGTGCGGCGCAGGTACAAGGAACCTGTGCTCTCCTCTGCTGCTTGGCTCTATCGTTCCTAAAATACACTCCACCAGGAGCCCCTTTGCCCCCGGAGACAGAGCTCCTAGCTCGCGAGCTTCCAACACCCAGCGCCTCGTTGCCAGGGCAACCCTTTCCCGCCTGGCGAGCCTCTGCGATCTCCCTGCTATTGGCTTAGCGGACGCAGCGTGCGTCTGATGTCACTGCACGGCGCCTCGAGATCCGGGAATGCTGCGAAATCTCGTTTCCCGGGTACCCGGCGGCCGGTGACGGAACCTGTAGCTGTTGGCCCAGCGGGCGCTGGGCAAAAGCCCCACGTGGGGTGGCGGCTGATGTGCAGATCGCGGCGGGAGAGAGGCGCGGTAGGAGCGGGTCTTTGGAGCCTTGAGCCGCGCAGGTGCGGGAATCCGTGGTGTCGCCCGCATTCTCTCGGAGCAGGGGACTTCCTCTCTGGCCTGTTGCTATGGCCGCCGGACCACGTTGCTAAGGAGCCTGGAGATGCTGAGCGCCAAGAGCTCTCCCTTCCTGGTTGGGCTTTGACTGAGAGTTGCCTTGTCGGCCTATTTGAAACTGGACGCCTTTCCCCCACTCTCCCCGACCTTCTTAAAAAAAAAAAAAAACTTTCTCTCCATTTTTTTTCTCTCCATGTCCTCCTCATTTTCTAACTTTGACAACATCCCGGCTCTGAACTGGTCTTAGGTATTTGGAAATGTGTGGTTTTGGAGGCGGAGAGGCTAGGAAAATGGAAAGAAGATATTAAGACCTTTAATACTGGCTCTTTGGATTTACAGTACTTTATGGTGAAAAGGATTGGGATAGGTGAATATTGGGCTGTGTCGCTGTTCTTTGCAATTTGAAGGAGTTTTAGAGATGGAGCTCATCTTCTTTTGTGGGGTTCCTATTACACTTTTGGAACTTCCCAAACACCAGATTAGAGAGTAGGAAAAAAAAAGTGGCCTCTGCCTCTGAGAATTTGCCAGATAGTTTAGTGCAGTGGTCTCAAAGCCAAGTGCGGGAAGAAGATGCATGTGGGAAAAGAAATAGGATATATGAACTGTCCAAAATAATGAAAGAAGAGTACGCTTTCCTGGCGTTGACCCAGATGCCTATAAACCCTTGTAGATGACCTGCAGCATCTAAGGAAACCTAAGGTAAAAATGAGGGGTCCACAGTGGGGGCCCTTCTTGGTTTGTTTGCTTTCTGATACTGTGACATAGTTTAGGTGTTGGGGTTAAGTGGATTTATGGATTTTAGTGTCTATTTAGGATTTATATATTGTTTTGTAAAAGATTGAGGGTGTCTGTTGCAATATTTAGAACACAAAATAGTTCTTACTTTTTCACTTCCTCCCACCATTAACCCTTTACATCACCCCCCACATGTTATTTAACCAAAAAGCACTCAGAAGAATTTAGTGTAAGATGAATTAAGCTTTTTTCCCTTTACAAACAACTTATGCTCTGGGTTTGCTGTCAGTGGTATGCTGCGAGGTGGGTATTATTTTTAAAAATTGAGTATACTTCATTTGTCTGTAAAGTAAAGGGTGATAGTTTTAACAGTAACTGAAAAACTAATTGTTTTGAAAAGAAACTAACAGGGTGTTTTGGAAGTGGACAGAGAAATGTTTGCATCATTGTGTGTGTGTATGTTTTGATATTGTTGCTGAAAATTACATAATTGTATTACACATAAAAACTGTCCTGTATACTTAAAACTTTTGGAAGCTCAATTTTCTAACATGTTTTTCAAGTGAAGAGTTTCAGTGGCTTTTTGAACGTATTCAAAATATAACGTAGCACTTTCGTGTTAGTGCCTTACAGAAACAGCTATCTGACATGAAAGGAGACAGATAGAAATTGAGTCATTCTAACAACAACTTTTGCAGAATTGGAAGGTAATATTGAAAAATGTGCATCATGATTTGATGCAGTGAACAATGCTATTTTTCTGTTTGTAAGTAGGTATCTTTGTGATGCATCTTTTTCAGATATGACAGCTATTACAAGTTACAACCAGAAAAAAAAAAAAACTGAACTTAAATCAGGTCTTCAAATTGATAGCACAAGTATTAAACCAAATATTTCAAAAAGAGAAAACATAATTTAGTTACATTGACCCCCCACTATTATTAGTAATACTAATACTAAAACATTTTGTACCATTATAAAGAAAATGACAATAGCTAAACTCATATAGTACTTACTATGTGCCAACCACTTTTCTAAAGTCTTCATCTACTTTTAGAGTAGCTAGTTACTGTAATTATCCCCAGTTATAGACTTGAGGAAACTCAAGTTTCCTTGACACAGATTGTTTTTTTATTAAACAGAAACTTAGATCATATTGTTCCCCATCAAGAGTTCTCAAAACAGACCAGGTGCAACAGTAAATACTTGTTGAATAATCACTGAAGTTCAGTATTAGGTTGACGTAGTTAAAGCCTGCCTTAGCTTATCTTAGAATATTATCTGACAAATTTAATGAGCTAATTACCATATTTCTAGAACATGCCTTGGGGATGAATGTGAAGTGTAATGTTGGGAAGTAACTCATCTGCTGGTAGTAGGATGAGAAAATTAGATCAGTGTATTAAATCAAGAATGTTGAAATTTAAAATTATTATGTGTACAGAAATAATGTTAACATTTAGTTTATCTTTACAAGGTACTTTGGCCACATTGTATTTGAAACATTTGGGGGCTGAATGTTATTACATGGAACTTTGTCCTTGTGAAGATTTCTAATTTGTCAAGTAAATTAAAATAATCTCATGTTAGTACTCATCTAAGAAGGCATCAGCATTTATCCTGAAGAAGAGAAAACTAAGGAGTTATGACCCATGTCTTCAAATATTTGAAAAGCTGTCATTTGGAAGTAGAAGACTTCACCTGTGTTGCCTTAAGAGAAGATATTACAGAACTTTTAGAAAAATAATTATTAAAGACTTAAAGTGGGAAGTGCTCTAATGGAAGAATAATTGGCGTGTCATATAAATGGGGGAATGGAGTAATCAAATAGAAATAAGAAGAAGGAAGCAGTGCATAAATCAGAGTGCTATGGATGTGGACATTTGAGAAACAGAAGATCAGGAAAGCCTGCATGGCACTTGGGATTGGAGCTAGACCTAGAAATACCAGCAGGCATTTGAGTGTATGAGTCTGAGTGTTGTGGTGGAAGATTCCTTAAAATAATTTGATTAGGCAGGAAATCAAGGGCTATGAATGAGAGCCCTCCCATTAGAAGAAAAGAGGGAATTGTGAAAGAGGGAGAAGTGAACCACCATTCACTGGATAAGCAACTTTATATATTATCTTATTTAACCTTCAGTAGCAGCCTTGATAGGTTTGTATTATTTCCCCCATTTTCATAGGTCAAGAAATCAAGGCTCAGAGAGATTAAATAATCTGCTTAAATTCTTAAACATATAATTGGTAGAGATGAGATGCAGACCCAGATCTGAGCCCAAAGCTCCTACCTTGTCACACCACACTGATCACATCTGTAGGGTTGAGTGCAGGAAACGGAAGAAAAGGAGACAACAATGATCCTAAATTTTTCAGCCTGAGGGACCAGAAAACTGGTTGTACCTTGAATTAACAAGAGGTTCATAAACTTCAGTGTGATAACTTCAGTTTTGGTTACATTCAATTTAGGGAACTTATGGTACATTTAGTAGGAGAGTTCATTTTGTCACTGGAAAAGTAGGACTTGTTATGCAAATGTTAACATTTGGAACTTTGGAAATATGGAGGCCAGAGAAGGTGAAGACAATATGGGACATGCCAACCACTTTTTCCAGAAATCTGGTCTGCATTTTCTGAATATAGCCAGAGGATTACAGTTGAGTTTCTAAACTTATATTTTGACTGTTTGAATGGAAAAATGCATATTTTTATACATCTTACTGTCTTACAGATGGTTTTTAGTTTACTGTTATCGATATTGAAGTTGATATAATTTCATATTTTCTTATTGGTCTTTCAGGTATTTTGTTCCATACCATACCTATTTTGTGGCTCTTTTACTGTATTTCCTACTCTGTTCTGTTTGGTCTTTATATTGTTAATGAATCCTTCTCCCCAAAAAAGTTGAAATGAAGTTTCATTTAACTGCAGGAGTAAAAGAGAAGCAATGCAGAAATCCGAGTGCCATAGAGGTGTACAGTTAAGAAACAGAGAGACAGGTACAGAATGTTGCTTTTAAATGAAGAGGTAAATTTTGTTAATGACACATTCTGTTATACTGATGGATGCAGGATGAGCTTTCACCTCTTCCTTGTTGATATTCTGTTTCTTCCAGATAACTGTGATCAAAGGACATCATCAAGTGCACAAATAAAACATAGGACTACAGTTCAACAAAGGAAATCCTCCTCGTCAACCAGTTCTCCAGAATCTGCAAGAAAACTTCATCCTCGACCAAGTGATAAACTTAACCCTAAAACAATTAACCCTGTAGGTACCAAAGAGATTCCTGACTCAGTAGATTTCCAAAGTAGTAGACATTTTATTGAGCCATTCTGAATGCTATCCCAAGTTCTTTTGTTTGTTAGTTTTAAGCTAGTGGTGAAGGAAGGCATATGGTAATCATGATGAAGAATGGAGATAATGACGTGAGTGTGGAAGTGAGACGGTGTAAAGTAAAAACCAGCTTTGGTACATCCTATCACATTCATGGATGAGTATTGTAGAGTATAAAATAAATTGCATATCAGCTTTCTTTTTTTCTTTTCTGTGGTTATTGTACTTCCTAATGTCAGTGAGTAAACTTGTATTCAGTTGCCGTAGGATGAATTACATGCTTCTATAATTGCATAAAGTCTCTGACCATTTGCCTATCATCTATAAATGAGCTCCACTAGAATTCTTAACTACAGCCCTAGTTTTCTTTTGCCTTCTCACAGCAATTTAATCACATTTAGCAAACATAAGATTCATGTACATAAACGTGGGTAATTGTAAGTTTCTAGATCAGTTTATCCAAAAAGTGAACACATTTGTGCTCCAACACCAGATGATGTCTGGCCCAGCCTTACATAGGGTAAGATGATAATGGTTTCAGCCTTTAAAGGAGATTATGAGAGTGGCTGAGACATGGACTTTGATGGCAGGTAAAATATGGCAGATACTTAAGTAAGGATACAATGAACTATCCAAGGGCAGAAGGAGATTTTCTGACTTTATAAAAAGAAAATAGAAAATAGTTTAAGCTTCTATGTTCCTTCACTTCCTTCTGTAATTTGCAGTGTCAAGGAAATCAAACACGTGAAAAATGCCCTGATATCTCTGTGCTCTTGCTTCCTTTTCTCATATTTCGTTGAGGGAGTTTATGGTGACACTTCAATTTTCTTCCTTTCTTTAAAGAAAAACTTTAGTAATATTTAGTGGCCCTAGTCTAAATTTTATTAAAAATTAAGGAAAGCTTTGGGAAATAATTTAACGATTTGACTTGAGAATAGGGTATATTAGAAAAGACCATGGCTAAGATATGTAAAAACTCCTGGTCCAAAGTAAATCAGTTGGAAGTCGGGATAGTGGTTACCTTTGGGAGAAAAGGTGGGAAGGGGTTGGAAAGAGTCACCGGTAACATTCAGGTTTTCCACCTGAGTGTTGGTACACAGGTATATTCACTTTTTGAGAATTCACTGATCTATACACAGTTTTTAAGACTTACATTTTTCTTAGCAGGAATTAGATAGATGAAACGTTAGTATTGCTGTGAATTGTCACACAGAACATAGGTTGAGCTTTGTAAATTAATCTTTTATTATAATATTATATTTTAATGAAATGTCATTTATGTATTTTTACTTAAAACATATGTGTTTTTCCAGAGGAAAAAGGGTTCGTTCTAAACTTAGACTTTTATGTACATTTTAAAATTACTGAATGTGACTTTAAAAAGTTTTTTAAGCTACTTGTATCTTTAAAATAGATTAGTAAGTTTATATTTTGTAATTTAGACAGCTATGTTTCATTTGATTATGTTCAAAGTACCATGTGGTAAAATATTTACTTTCTGTGCCTAAATTCTTAAGCCTCTGATCACTTACATTGAAATTATGTATGCTGCGATTGTTTAACTGTTGTGATTGATCATCTTTTAAATTATCTTTGAGAGTGCATATAGAATTAATTTAGTCATAAAATAATTATATAGAAAAACTGAACGTTGTGAAGTTATATATCTAAGCAGACACATCCGGGCATGTGTTTGTGGGAGTCTTGCTCTGTCTTCAACTCTGTCACTCTTGTTCATCCTAAGCCTTTGATTTTTATTGAAGCACAAAACCAGATTGGAGAAATTACAGGTTCTCTGACCATCCAAGACCGTGCATATTTGATTGGAGGAGAAGTAGGAGATGTGTGGGAGGTTGAAAACACATTATACTTTCCCTGTACACCTTTTCTCCATTTAGTCCTCACTTTGAAAGGTCACAGTGCGGAAGGGGTGGAAAGATGTTATTATCTTTATTGTATTTGTTTATAGTATTTATATTTAAAAATATTTATCTATAGTATATTTATTTTATATATGGTTTCAGCCTTCTGAAACAAGTTAAGGAAATATACAAAATGTGTTTGTGGTTGTGGTTTCAGTATTGAGAGGATTGATCATTTTTCTTAGCCATTTTCTGAGTAGCATGATGTTGTACTTGATATGAGCATGGTGGCTTGGAAGTCAGGGTGTCCATCTGCCTCTGACCGCAACAGGATTGAAGTTGATTAGGTATCACAAAGTGGAGGTGATAGTAATATTTATTGTATTGTCATTTTTTATTTCAGTTTGGTGAACAGTCACGAGCCCCTTCTGCATTTGCAGCTATTTACTCTAAGGGAGGTGTTCCTTGCAGGTAAAATCAGTACAAGTTATAATTGACCATATTATTCAGAATAATTGAGTAAAATCAATACAGTTTTCAGTTTAAAGTTTTGAAAGTTTTATTTACTAGGGAGGTTGAAATAATGGTGACTTATTCATACTTTGGCTGTTGGAGTGGTATAGATCCTGGGACATTGTTGAAGAAAATCATTTTAATTCCAAAATAGACTTACTGATAGATCTACAGTAAACCACCAAATAATTTAAGAAATTGAATGAACCAGTTTTTAAAACAATTTAAGCATTCATAGGCTTGGGCGAATTTCAAAGAAATAATCCTTTTTTGTTCATGAACTGGAAGTTGACAGTTTAATGAAATTGTTTCATTATTTTTTTAATTATACTTCAAAAATCAAAGATTTACAATTTTTATTGAAATTATATTTATTAATGAGTAATATAGCTGTTTTTGTTTACTTTTGTTGCAGTTCTTGTAGCCTTCTTGGACAGAGATCAAAACTATTTTAAAGCAAATGATGCAGGTTACTAATAGAGTGATATCATTTTAAGATTTCACTACTGAGAAACATTAATTTCTTCTAAGTATAGCCAGTTTTAGCCTGTTATAGATGATAGAAAATTTTGTTTTCATTGTGGGAAGAATAATCAAAACATTCTTTTTGTTGTTCTAAAGTTAAAGAAATGTAGTTTTTAGTGGTATTTTCAGATTTGGAGGGCTAGGAGTGAAAAATAAGCACAGGAAGCATTCTTTAATTGATTGTTGTTATTATTTTGTATTTGCATTCTGAATTGAAACTCTATTTTAAGGGTCTTATACCCCCTCCCCACCCTGATAACTTATTATTGCTAAAAATGTAAAAACAGTGTTGCCGAGGCTTCTTGCTATTATGAAAGGAAGGTGTCAAGTTGAGAACATTACAAAAGGGGTGTGAAGTAACAGTTGAGTGTGTTGAATAAGTTCACCGTCATGAGTGTGATGATGGCTCCGTGGCTGTATTCATACATCAAAACTTAACCAAATTCTATACTGTATAACAATGTCCATTTTATTGCGTGTTGGTTATGTCTCAGTAAAGGCTGTTAAAAAGAAAAAAAGCAGCAGCAGCAGTGACTTTAATTCAAGGGGCTACCTCTTTGTTGCCCTGCATGGGTCATTGCACCTTCCTGGCCTCAGTTTTCTTCTCTTTAATGGGGATGAAACCTGGCTTGCCTTTAGATTATTCATGTTAGGGTTAAATGATTTACCTCTGAAAAATAATGTTACTTATTAAAAAATCATTGTTTCTAATTATCACATTTTGTTTGCATGTTTTGTGGTAGGTTTGCTATAGTTTTGTCTACATTATTTGGTTAAAATTATAACTGAAACATATCAAATGTAACATTTGCATTAAGACACAAATAGCAACATGCTGGAACTCCAAAATTGTAGGCTAAACAAATGTGGAGTTTAGTTTTGCCACGAAACAATTTTGCTAAAAGAGTAGGAATTTGTAGGATTATAAATATATAATTATTGCTTTATAAGATGCCTTTGTAACATCATTTAAGGTCATAGTATTCCTACATGTTACAAAATAATTCTAATATGATTATGTTCTAGAAAGAATATGTATATGTTAGATAATCACTGCTTAATATATGTTATCCTTGTTACATGCACTGCCTTTTATGTTTTAGATTGGTCCATGGTTCAGTAAAACACAGGTTACAGTGGGAGTGTCCTCCTGAAAAGCTTCCATTTGATCCTCTTCTTATTACTTTAGCTGAGGTAAATACTCTATCTTTCCTGAATGTTTATGGAAAACAAATTTTTTAAATTGTGTTAAGTGTTATTTTGTAACTCATCAGTAAATACTTTTGAAATAAAAGCCAAACAACAGTATTAAAGCACCACATTCCCTTAGGAACTAATTATGATTGGTATATGTTTATTAAACTGTTTAAACAGCTTTATAAACATGAAATTAAACATGAAACATGAAATCTGCACAGGTATTTATAGATAAGTGGATAAAATATTCATATTTAATTTAAAAAAAAAGTTCTTGGAATCAAATTGAATTAGTCAAATCAGGAGAATATCACTGATTTGAACTTATATTGCATCAGATAACAATTACTGATTGGTCTTTCTTTATAGAAGCAGGCACCTTTAATATGATATGTTTCTTAGGGAACTGATATTACCTACCTAATGTTCTTTGGGAGAATTCTCTGGGCTTTTGCCTACTGGTACATTTTAAGTAGAATATCATGGAGATGGTTTTTGTAGAGGATTTTAGAAAAACTGCTGATAGATTCCTTTATATTATTTAACATTTGTGTCAGGAAAACAGTTGGCTTAGTATTAGCTTGAAGAGAGTCAGTGATATCTCCTGTGAATTTTATTATTTATAAATGTATAGAGTTAGAGTCAGAAGTTGAGAAGTGAATTAACCAGTTGTACTTAACCTTTGAGATACTTGTCTTCTTTAAGAGTTAAGGATCATTTTTGTTGTTGTTGATGTTAAGAACGACAGCAAGAGCTTCGATGGTATTAATCTGAATAGGCAGTGCCTCTAGGATAAGTCATACAATAATAAGTAATCTAAATAAAATATGACACAGAAAAAACTCAAGCTTTTTTTCTTCATTTAAAGAAACATTTGCTTTTCCTATAAAACTAGTGGGGAGGACCAGGTGGCGGCAAAACAGAAAAGTAGATAATTGTGCTGATTGAGATTTCTTAATTATAGTAAATCCTTAGAATTTCTAGTTCCTCCTTTAGTTTCCCAAGTATACTTACTCTTTTAAATGGACATAACAGTTACTACTGAAGACTGCCAAATTTTCTTAGGTCTCAGCTTTTCTTAATTTGTACTTCAGCTTGCCGAAGGTATTTTGGTGTAATAAGCAGTGTATTTTTATGGGTAGCCTATTTTGAAATTAAATTTTAATTAGTCTCTTAAACTTGGTATTGAAAACTAAAGATGTTCTAATATTTCATTAGTTCTTTTTAAACTTTTTATATATGGTAGCAAACAGTATTTTAGATGAATCAAAACTATAGTGATACCTTTGAAAACATACTCTAGCTAATCACAAGGAACGGGGAGTGCTTTAACTTGGGGAGTCCCCAAAGGGACTCTGAGTTTAGTTTAGACCTCATAAAGTCAGTCTTTTAAATGCCCGTTTTCCAAACACCAGTGCTTTTATTTGTGTACTGGGTAAACTCCACTCATTTAATAATGAGGAAATAGTGACAGAACCACCACTATTTAAATCCATTTCACCTTTTGACCTGAGATTCCTCATCTCTAAAATGAAAAGGATAGGGGTGCTCCTAAGGCCATAGAACCTGTGTTCCAAAATGGTGCTGGTGTGCTTGGCATCATAGTTTTCAAAAGCATGACAGCATCTAGGAGAAGAAGTGTTTCATCACCGTTTGGAAGCAGATAGTTTGGTCTCGAGGACAAATTGTTTGAAAATTAGTATTTTTAGGCATGACCCTGCAGCTGGTTATAGTTATTCCAAATAATAATTAGTCAAACTGAGGGTATGTTGCCATTGCTTTCTTTCTTTTTTTTTTTTTTTAACATCTTTATTGGAGTATAATTGCTTTACAATGGTGTGTTAGTTTCTGCTCTATAACAAAGCGAATCAGTTATACATAAACATATATCCCCATATCTCCTCTCTCTTGCGTCTTCCTCCCACCCTCCCTATCCCACCCCTCTAGATTTCTTTCTTTGTTTTATCTTTTCAAAAAAGGTACCTATTTTATCCTGACTCAAAGTAATCATTTACATCAAAAGACTACTGTCTAATTGTTCCTAATGCATGTGGGGTGAAAGGCATAGTAAGAAATGATTTACAGTGGGTTTTTTTTTTCATATTTTTGTTTGACATTCTGATGTTAAAAATGGCATTTGATATCTTATAATGCATTTTAAACATAGTATAAGATTTGTCTTAGTATTTAAATATGAAGGAAATATAATATTTTAGAAAGTCATTAAACAAGTTGCAAAACCACCTTTAAGATAAGGGGTCCAATAATTTTGCATTCATAAAGTGGAGTTTATTGACATACATTTTAGACTAATTTGCTCTGATTTCAGGCAGTGTTGTTTTTAGTATCCTAGTGAGTTTTTTTTCCTTCTCTTTATTTCTTTTTATTTCTTTCCTCTCCCTCCCGTCCTCCTTCCTCTTTTTTCTCTGTTTTCTTTCGTTTTCTTTTTCTTTATTTCTTTTACTTTTCCTTGCCTCTCCTTTGATTTTTCCTGTTCCTTTTATTTTTTTCGTATTCTTTTTCTTTTCCTTTCCTTCTTTTCTTGGTTAGAGATCCCTCCTGCCTCATGTATGTCCTGTGTTCCACGATTTCTTAGTTTAATTGAAATTGTAATTACTGAAATTATATTTCACAAATAGGAAAACAATAATAATAAAACTTGATTTTTACTTACACAAGTAAGGATTAATATTTTTGGTATTAGCATCACTAAATGTGTAGTAAATCATGTTTTTGTCTTTGTTTTGGCAGGGTCTGAGGGAGACTAAACATCCATACACCTTTGTGTCAAAGGAGGGTTTTAGAGAATTACTTTTGGTCACAGGTGCTCTTGAAAAAGCTGTGCCTTTGCTTCCTAGATTGATTCCTGTGCTGAAGGAAGCTCTGGTATGTCCTTTATTCCTTTAGACTTTCTGTGGTACATTTAGAGTATTTTATGTCTTTTTTTCTTTCAAATTATATGCAAATTTGTTCTTTACCTGTGATTTTGATGTGTGTGCAGAATTAGGCCACTGTTATTCAGGGCCAGATGATTACTTCCTGGAAGACACCTTGGGAGGATGTACTAAAGGTAAAAAGGGACATCTTGAGTAATCAGAGAAAATAATGAACCTCAAATCAGTCTTTCTGTAGGCTACAACATATTTTAATTAATGTTTCAGTCAAGCCAAATTTGGTTTTTGCTTCTAGATGTCCTGTACTAAAGGTTATGTTTTAAATTCTGGGTTTGGTTGATTATCTTCTAGGACTGAATGTTCAATCGCTTTTTCTCTACCTGCTTGCCCTTTCTCCTTACCCATCCTTCCTTCTCCCCTCTTTCTGTCCCTGCCTGTGCACCCCTAACCACCCAACCCTCCCCAGGTCCACTTGGATGATGAAGTGTTTGAAAGAGGATTGAATGCTCTGGTACAGTTAAGTGTCGTTGTTGGCCCTGCCCTAAATGACCATCTGAAACATCTGCTTACAAGTGTAAGTACTGAAAAGATTAGAGAGGGATTGTGTATATGTATCTCCTCCTGATGTAATGGCTTCAAATTAATCATTAAAATGATTCAAAACGTTAAGAAAACCTTATCATCCTAACCAAAAAATATAGATGTCAGACCTAGTTGTTCATAAAATATTTTTACTAGTGGACATGGAAAGCAGCTACATGAGCAAATTTAGAGTTGTAATCAAAGTAAGCAGAAGTTGAACGGACAAAAATTAATGAACAGTGTGAGGACTTCATGCCTATGTGGATTGGCTATGAATTATAAGCAGAGCTTATACGTATTCTTGTGGAATTGGATATTGTCAAAGTGATGTTTTTCATCTTTTTTCTTTTTCTTTGTTTCACATTGTAAGTTTTTTAGTGAGTCTCTAGCATTCAGGATGAGACATTTTCCTGTTAGGAGTAGTTTAGCCATATCACAAACTTATATTGGGGTACTCTGCAGTTCAAGTGGTCCCCAAGACCACCCTTAGGTTGAACAATTTGCTGAAAGGACTCATGGAACTCAGAGAAGCTGTTATTCAGTGTTGCCGTTTATTACAGTGAAAGGATACAGATTGAAGTCGGCCAAGGGAGGAGGTGCATGGAGCAGGGCTGAGAGAGACCAGGTGTGGAGCTTCAGTTGTCCTCTCCCAGTGGAGCTGTGTGGCCAGTGCTTGCGTTTTCCAGCAGTGACGTCTGGCGTGATGCATGGAGTATTGCCAGCACTGGAAGCTCACCTGAGCCTGGGTGTCCAGGGTTCTCATTAGAAGTTTGTCACATGACATCACCGCCTGCCTGCCTGGTTGACCTTGGTCTCCAGCCTCTAGAAGTTGAGCTGATACCTTGTGGCCCGAGGCCCCCACTTAAATCACTTTTGTTAGCGTTGACTATCTGGTGTGGCCCAATGCCCCAGGTAAACAAAGACACTCTTATCTGGAAGGACCTTCCAAGAGCTTCAGGGTTTCCATCCAGGAGCCAGGGGCAAGGACCAAGCCTTTCTTCATGCAGAGTTCATCCTTTACTGCACACACTGAAAGAAAGATTAAAGTCCTGGCTGGGATAAGCTGTAGCTAGGATTTCTCTGCATGCATCCTTCTGTAGTTCAGAGCAGAGACATCTATGTTGATCATAGATCCACTTTTTTCTTGGACCCATCCACCTGAGAGATCCTAGAAGTGTATTTTTAACTTCTTATTCTGAAGATAGACTAATACACCCCAGGAACAACCTGGCTAAGCCTATGGAAAGAAGGGGTGGTGGTGCAAGTAGGGGTGCTGTGGTTAGAAATGGTAGGAGATAAAGTCTCACCGTAGGTCTGGTGGGGAGAAGACAGAGTGAGACCAGACTCTCAAACGTTAACCTATGGGAAGTCTCAGGACAGAAGGGGGAGAATCCTGGCAGATACTTGCTTATCCCCCTCAGGTCAGCAGGTTGGGTTGTGGCTGACTAACTACAGGAATTTCACAGTAGTATGTAGAATGACTCATTGTAGATTGATTGCTTCGGTTCAAACATTCAGCAGTTCAACATAAATCTGTTGCTCTCTGCCCTCCCATTTTGTGTCAGGTATCATGTGAGGCACAGGGAATATAATGCTGAACAAAACCAGATATGCCCCCTGTCCTTGTGGAGGTTGGTTTCTGTTTGGGGGAGAGATAAGTAGCAAGGACATCCTCTGAGAGAATTAGGATGAGGTGAAGAGGAAGCGACATGGAGAGGAAGGGATCCTTCCCCCAACTGGAAGTTGAGCTTCCTAAACAGCCTCCCATTCCTGCCCAGTGTGGCGGAGGGAGAAGACCAGATCAACAGTTAAACTATTTTCTTTTTTCTTTAAGGGACAGTTGCATTAATCTTTGGTCAGTCACATTCCTCCCCACAGCTCTGCTTTTCCTAAGACAAGGACTGACTGGAAGGACCTCTTCCCTTCCTGGGGTGGCAACACTTTGGGGAGACCTAGCTACCACGCTGGCCTTCACACCCCAGTGGGATTCCACAGAGGAGAGATCCTTGGAAATAGGACATGTGGAGGTTTGTCCCTGGTCTGTTAGCTACATACCATGAGGACCACTGAGGCGCTAGATGCTCCCTCCTTCCCTCCCCTCCCTTCATCCACCACCCCCTTCAGCCAGAAAGGCTCCACTCTCATGTCTCATAAACTTCTACATTAGATGTTTATTTGAAGAAAGGACTCGTCTTATAGAAAAAGAATTTCAAAACCAGTTACTGAACGTATATACAACTGATTTTCTTCATATGTGAAATAAGTCATATCCTTTCTGAGCTTCAACTCTGAGGGACTGTCCACTGACCCTAGGACAGTGATCCTCAAACTTGAAGGAAGAAAGAAAGAAATCACCTGGGAATCTTGCTACAAGTGCAGAACCTGGGCCTTTGTCCTGCGATTCTGGTAAAGCAATTTATGGGGTGGGACCAAGAATCTGTACTTTGTAAGTGGGCATCTGTGGTGGTTCTGATGGTGGTGGTTCATTGTTGGTCCTGCACTCCCATGCCTGAGAACATGGTCTCGAAGAAAGCAAACTTCAGATCTATGAGAGGTGCCTTTTCTGTTCATCCCCAGGATGTTGATACGCCCTGCCTGTCCTCTCTTTTAGAGTTGCATTTCTCACATTTTTTATCTTTCTGGGTGTCCCTTCTGACCCTCCCTAACCTTTGATGACCTGCTGAAAGGACCCATTACTCAGTGCTCAGTGGTGGGAAGTATGCCGGGGTTACTCACAGATCTGGGAAGAGGAAGAACCAGAAACCTACTCTAGAACAGGGCTTTATGTGTTTGATCAATGAGGAATTCTTGCCTGGGCTCCATTTTTATCCCCAGAAGGTGGAGCCATGAGCAAGTCCTGCTGTAGCTGAAATGTTTAGGTCTTTGGGTGAGTGTTGCAGACACTTGGTGGGAGAACACAGTTATGAGTTGTGCCTGAGGGGCTGAATTGCGCCCTTTCCCTCTTTGCTCTTGTTCTCGCTCACCTGTGCTCTCTCCCTTCTTAGCCAGAGCTCCACCTGTCCAAGGAGGCCCCTTCAGGACATAGCTGGGGGTGATAGGTGGTCTTGTGGGTTTTAGTCTGATTCTTTTGCCTGCCACTGTTACTGAGTTATTCATGTAAACGCTCTGTTCTTTGTTGTCTCTTCCATTTTTAACTGTAGGAAACACCTGTGTTTTAGAAGCTTAGCTTTCCATCGTAGTCCTGCAGATGCTCTTGCAAATTACAGAATGGGAATGCATACAATTTCATAGAAAACTTACTCTGGAAAACTTACAGTATGCTAGTACTGTAGTAGATTTTGTAGGGTTGGTATTGTTTCAAATAATAGAAATCCATTTTTTTAAACAAATACAGTGGTGTCTATTATATGTAAATTTTAATGAGATGTTTCCTAAAAGAAGCCTTGAAATCTAATTAAGTGGGATTTATGTACTTACTATACAGTAAAGACTCAATGGTATTATTTCTAGTTAGCCTATTAGTGAAGTTTTACTTATGTTTATAGTGAATAGTGTTACTTTTTCAAATCATTTCATTCCCTTAATCTTATTTGAAAAGCTTTCCAGGAGACTAAGGGACAAGAAATTCAAAGAACCAATCACCACTGCATTACAGAAGCTGGAGCAGCATGGTGGAAGTGTAAGTGAACATTATTCCCCATAAATCATACTTTTTAAACATTTCAGTTGTACTATGAAATTGACCGCGTAACATATATTATCTCACTTCAGGCTCAAGTAGCCACGTGGAGTTGATATTATTATTCTCATTTTAGAGCTCAGAGTTTCTGTCTTGCCGAGGTCACACAGTTTTGTTTTGTCTTTCTTAATTGAAGTATAGTTGATTTACAATGTTGTGTTAGTTTCAGGTGTACAGCACAGTGATTCAGTTATACGTGTGTGTGTGTGTGTGTGTGTGTGTGTGTGTGTGTGTGTACATATTCTTTTTCAGATGCTTTTCCCTTATAGGTTATTACAAAATATTGAGTATAGTTCCCTGTGCTATACAGTAGGTCACACAGTTTATAAGCATGAGGATTCAGACCCAGGTTAACAAAGGGCCTCTGCACTGCACCGTACTTACTGTACCACACTCTGTGTAGTACAGCCGTACAGTTTTTTTTATTTTGGTTGTATTTTGGATGTTTTTGCTTTGACCCTTGGGAAGTTCAGAAAACAAAAGGATTAACTTAACTCATTGAAGAAAAAGTGTTATTTTTCCTTTCATTTGCCATCTTCTCTGTCTGAAAAATTTACAATCTGCCCATAATCGAAGATTGAAATGAGGTTCCCAGGTGGTTGCGTTGTTCTCTCTGGAAGTTGTGTGCTCGCTCGACCATGCTCACGTGCACACAGAGGAATGATTCAGCTGACCAGTCTAACTTGCAAGAAGGTGCAGAGCCGTGGGGGATTTCATTACTGTCTGTGTGTTGTGAAATAACTGGGTTAATTGAATTTTCATCACTTGAAAGAAGTGTTCAAATAATCAATCTAGTCTTGGAAATATTTCCATAATGCAGTAATTCCACCATGTTTTGGAGATTACATTTAATCAGATCTTAATGATAGAGTTGCGTGTCATTATCTTAGCATTGTAGAACTTAGTTACACTCTAGGTATTTAATTGTAAAGAAAATTTGCGTGATCAATACAATCTTAAAACGGCAGATGTTTGAGTTTAAGCATTGCCTAAATTACTTAATTTGACCAATTTCAGTGACTTTTAAAACTGATTATATTCTTTTCATGATGAATGCCTAGAATAAAGTTTATGATGAAGTCAGTCCCTGGGCTACTAGATAATGAATTTCTTTGTTGTGTGTGGGTCTAGGCCGAGGGTTAGCCTTCTGACACCTTGTTGAGATGCACAGAATCATCCCGCAGTCAATTCAGTGTCTCTGCCCAGCAGAAAGGAGATTCTTCTTGCTTACAAATGTGTTGTTCTGAGAATTGGAATGCGAAATAATTTGCCCTTTCCTCTCTGTGAAATGCAAATAAACACATGCTAAATAACATGGCAAGGCTTTTCAATCTGAAACTCTCCCCAGATGGTTTTCACACATCCTGTGCTGGTATGGGAAATGGGCGATTAGGAAGGGGTGGGCCCAGCAGGTTAGATTTCTTGCGGGTGGGGTGTGGAGGAGGGGAGAGTTTTTGAGTAAATACAGGTTAGAAATAGCACAGTAGGATTTGGAGAGGGAATACTGAGGATGTAGGTGACCAATCCAAGGGTCCCAGTGATAGCTAGCAAGGAAGTTCTCTTATTGCCACTCAATCTCCTTAGTTTTTAATCATGCTAATACAGAATTTTAAAAGATTTTGAAGTTATAAGGACTATTAAGTATTGTTTATTCCCTCATACTTTTGCTCTTCTTGTTCCTCCTTCTAATGTCCTACATAATATTTTAGTAATAATTAATATAATTGCAACAGGAAGTTTCAATCACATATCAAAGACTTCCCCTTGGCTTAATTGTTATTGTGCTTGCTTTAGGTACTTTATAATCCATCATGAAATTAATGATGTTCTTTCCTTTCTAAAAACTTAAATGTTTACATCTTTCTCTTTCTTTAAATATTGGAGATGAGTCTTGATAAGAGGTTCTTCTCGATATTATAGTTTCTCATTTCTTAGGGCTCACGTGTATCACAATGATGAAAAGACTCAACTTCTAGAGAAACTAAAATATCAGTTACAGACAGCCAGTGTCATTTTCTTAGAACTAATCAGTTTGCTATCTGCCTTAAACTGAAATTGGTTCATTCTCAGCCTGATTTAATTATCTTTTTAAACGATATACACATTAGTCTTGAAAAAGATACATACATATATACATCCTGATCTTTATCGAGCAAGTAAGAACTTATTACATGAGAGGTACTCTATTGAGTATATTTTAGACATTAAACTCATTTAATCTTCGCTACATCCCTCAGAGGTGGATTTTTGTTGTTATCCCCCCGTGAAGAGCTAGAAACTGAGGTGCAGAGAAGTAATTAGCCCCAGGTTTGACAGTGAAGTGACTGGCAGAAGCTGGATTCAAGTACTGGTAGTCTGGTTCCTAACTATTTTTCTAGTTAAATATTTTTAAACCACAAAAAGAGACAACGTATATTTTATTTAACTCAGAAAAAAAGTTCTGTTTCCATCATTCTGCTCCTATCCCATTTTGTATGTTTGGAGTTTTGAATACTTTTTTAGGCATGCTCCTGCAAATGTATAGTACCTCTTAGGGGAACCCTGCATGATACTAATGAGGCTAACTTTTTTTCTGTTGACAGGGAAGCCTTATCATCATCAAATCTAAAATTCCAACATATTGCTCCATATACTGCTGAAGAAAGTAGCCCTGGTGACAGGTGTTAAACGCTGACCATGGGTATGCACGGAACCGTTTCAGGTTCACTTCACTTTACTCTTTTGTAAATCACAACCACCCTTCATTATTGCTGGCTTTAGATGAGTATACACAGTCCCACTGAATCATAGTACAAGTTATTCATTAAAAAAAAGAATGGTTAATGATGGAAAACTATTAAAAAAAAGTTCTATAATAGTACAATCTTGTGGGGTTTACTTTTTCATATTTTTTATGGTTTGTGTGAGCAACAGTTATTTGGTTTACAATGGATGTGTTTGTGTATATTTTCTAGTGCCTTTTGTATATAACATTTATACAGTTCGTGTGTAGCTGTGCACTTATTTTTAGACATTTTGCCATTTCCTGGGTTTTATATTTATCAAGTCTATGAAAATTTCAAATAGTGGACAAACATTTGTGAATTCACTGTTAATTATTGTTTGTAAATATGTATTTTATAATGTAGAATGCTTGGAAATAATTTTGAGTATTCTAGTTTTAAGAAAAAAATTTTTAATGTGTAAGTTCTCTTATAAGTATGGTTATTTATTACAAATCGTTAAAACTACCTAAACTTTAGGTATTAAGTAAATGTTATTTTTGTAATTCATAGTCTGAAAATACTGATATTCAGTACATGAAGATACTCAGAAATTAAAATCTTAAAAGTCTTACATGTATTCAGTGATGTTGTTGTGCTTGCTTATGTTTAACAATTAATTCAGTTGAAAAAGCTTTTAAAACGTAAGTTACAAGTGTAGCTCTGAATGTTGATGTTATAGAAGCTGATTCTGGATCATTCTACAGAGAAAGGAGTAGAGGGAGAGAAACATCTGGGCAGGAAGAGCGCCGTTAGGGACCCGGCTGGCCACACCAAATCCAAGGCTAACAGACTTCTGAAGGGCTGGAGATCAGGGGCAGCAATATTCTGTCCCAGAAGCCTCGGAGAACACCCTTTCTTTGCTCCATCCTCAGGTACCGAGAGTGATCTCTTTGTAATTCTCATTTCAGATCCAATCTCACGGATGTAACTTAAAATACGAGGAGTTTCTGAAGAGCGTTAACAGCAGAAATGCTCCTCCTCCCTCAGAGCTCCTATCATTCCTGGTCCCCCGGCTGGCACACTCTGTCCTCAGGTGTCTAGTCACATCCTCAGGTCGCATCCGCTCACAGGCCTGCCTGCCCACCGGCCTTGCCCTGACTCCTCTATCCTTGCACTTAGCTCCACCCAAAGACCGAGATCTCTACCTTTTAGAAAAATGCCATAAGAAAAATGTAACGTTTTTAATCTAGTAATTATAAAAGTTGTTATTGCAATAAAGACCTGTAACATAGACAGTAGAGTTATAAACATTTTATTTGCTTTTATTTTTTCTTTTTGAAATACAAAATGTGCACATTGAATTTACACAAACACGTGATGGCCAAGTTCAGTGTACATGTATTGTACTACTCTTAATTTCTACACTGGTGATAGCAGGGCAGCTTTCAACATCCTATCTCTACACCAGAATAGATACCTGATTTGTTGTTGCAAAGACAGTTGCAAATTTCCTCCTACTCTAGCCTCTTGGTCTTTGTGATATTTCTGCAAAACAGGGAAGGTGTGTGTGTATCTTTAGTAATATTGTGGCGACTTTACAATTTTGGCTTAAGATCATTAAAAATAGTCTGAATTATTGGAGTTTTATGATGAGCTAAATCATAATACAATCCAGATGAGTTGCTTAGCACTTATATTCCTTTTCTATTAAATTTTGGTATTATAGTTCTCGATACAATGGAATCACTGGTGCTTTCAAAGTGAATTCTGCTTGCTGTTTGTTCCTGGTAGGCATTAGGGTAGCAAAGGTTTCTTTGTCCTTAAATGGCATCTAATGTAAAGGTGCCATGAGGGAGTCAGGAAAGAGGATGGAATAGGCCTTGAATGCAGTTAAGGATTACTTGTTGCTAAGCATTGCCACGTACTGGATGACAGATGTCCTGACCGTTTGCTAAGCCTGTGGACATCCTCGCTTTGTTTCACACCTTCTTGGACTTCCACTTAGTGACATAATAGTCAGCCTGTAGGACTGAACAAATCCAAAATTACATACATCATGTAGGCCTTGGCTGTAATATGTATTATGAAAAATTAAGAAATGCTTATTAAATAAGCTTTATTAGGCATATGCTGACATCTGGTGATAAACTGACTTGTTTCATGTTATAAAAATATGCCAGGTAAATGAATGTCTTTAACAGAAGGAAGCAAACCCAGAGAAACTGGGACTATGGGTTTGTTTGTTTGTTTCCAATTGTAGTAACCTTGTTTTGTTTGCTTAAAGTATAAATGGAATTACAGCATACAAACATGAAAACTAATATCTGGAAATTAAGTGCAGATGCCAGTATTACAGAAAAACCATTTAAAATCCTGGGGCTGAATACATACAAATGAATAGCAAAAAACACAGATATTTTAAAATCACCGATACTGTGAAAGCCTCAATAATCCCATGGCTAAACAATCAATAAAACTATATGCCAGATCCTATTACTTTTGAATATTCACAGGGTATGAACTGACTTAGAACATCCCATGAACTCAGTAGCATTATGAAAAGGATGCAAATTTATAAATGGAAAACTCAAATCTTTTGGGGATTGCTTTATATTAAAACAACAAAGCTTGTTTGCATAATATGCCTCAGTGTAAAGCTGAGCAATCTATGCTAAAAGTGGTAGCTCCAACTTTGTGTGATAGAATCGTTCACATTTGTCTGATTGAGGACGTATTCGACAAGTTAGATCACATTTTCAAAGAGCTGCATGGAGCGCATGATGTTTTCATCCTGTAAGGGAGAAAACGTGGAATTAAGTTCACCATATCGGCAAAGGAAAGTGCACTGTTTTGCCTCTAAGTACTGCCACCCTCCACCAACGCCTATGCCAAATGTTCAGATACTAAGGGTCTGCAAATGTAAATACTCTTCTACCCATTTTCCACACAGATAAGTAGGGAGAGCCCATTTTATGTTCTGTTGAGTCTACTAGGCTTTAAACACTTTATTTAACTCTGGCTTGCTGTTAAGAGGGGATATTTCTCAAATTATTAATAGAATGCCAGCATGGAAACTGGAGAGGCGCAGAGCATAATCAAAGCGAGCAAGGCAAACTGTGGCATTTTAGGTAACCACCCGCCAAATCACAGAGACTTGTACACATGGAAGGATACAGGGTTTGTGTGTCAGCTAAGAGCCAACTTCATAAAGATTGGAGGTTGGGGGCTTCCCTGGTGGCGCAGTGCTTGAGAGTCCGCCTGCCGATGCAGGAGACGCGGGTTCGTGCCCCGTTTCGGGAAGATCCCGCATGCCGCAGAGCGGCTGGGCCCGTGAGCCATGGCCGCTGGGCCTGCGCGTCCGGAGCCTGTGCTCCGCAAATGGGAGAGGCCGCAACAGTGAGAGGCCCGCATAACGCAAAAAAAAAAAAAAAAAAAAAAGATTGGAGGTTGGGGTTTAGGAGACAGGTTTGCAGTAATTACACCTCTCTTTCTGAGTCTGTTAGGGCTAAATCTGTGTGGCCTTCGGGAACCTTTAAAAATGAATGGGCTCTCAATGCCAGAGAAAGGATTGTTTGTGAGAAACCATTGCCCAGTGTCTGCAGCTTAGCATGTTCCTTAGAAACTTAGGGGGACAGACTTAGGGCAGGATAGGGGCACTTGGAGATTGTGACTGTTTATAGCAGTGGAAAATGGTAGCAGAACTAATGATGACTTCCACGACTAGATGCCAAGTAACAATACCACCATTAAGTAGGTTGATATACCTAAGTTCGTTCAAAGACCGTCACATTGAAATGTGAGTTGAGAAAAAGGCAGGCATCAGGAAAGGGAAAGTATATCAACTTGAAAATAATGAGAAAAACTAAAGCACCAGCAAACTTCTTTGTCTCCATAATTATTTCTTTTTCTCTTTTTTTTTTTGCGGTACGCGGGCCTCTCCCGCTGTGGAGCACAGGCTCTGGACGCGCAGGCTCAGCGGTCATGGCTCACGGGCCCAGCTGCTCCGCGGCATGTGGGATTTTCCTGGACCGGGGCACGAACCCGTGTCCCCTGCATCGGCAGGCGGACTCTCAACCACTGTGCCACCAGGGAAGCCCTGCCTTCATAATTATTTTTAAAATTCTTAATCGTGGTTCTACCCACATGTCAAGTCAAATAACTCTAGGTATGCTAATACTGGTCTGCCACCAGATGGTGGAGAACCATATGGACTTTTCCTCAGGGAGAATTTTCTGCTGTTTAATTTTGTCACTGAAGACCATTTCTGGTTCAGCCAAAGACATCTCTTGTCCACATACTTTGAAGCAATGATGTTTCTCTTAGAAATCGGATATAAGTTTGGCCAGTGATACACTCTTGGCTGTACTGGAATTCTAAATCTACGGAGGGTATGGTAGACAAGTTACATGTTATATGCTAGTTCCGGGAAAAGGACAATTCAAGTCTCACATAAGTTTTATCCTCAGTGATGAATATTCTAAAGGATCTGAAGAGCAAAAACACACGTGTGCAACCTTCATCTCTCCAGGGCTTCCCTCATAGCCTGCCTTGGGATAGACAGTAAATGCTGATGAACTGAATGTGCAAATTGGTGATTGTTTTCAGAGTGGTAGGCTTATTCATCTCAGCTATGCAGAAGTGGTGATCTTAGGCATATGATCTTTATACTCTGCTCAGTTCCTGGTGGCTGGCTGGCAGGACTAAGTTCAGCTGTTAAGGAAGCAAAAGGGATAGCTCCTTTACTATCGTTACTTACTTTTTGGCAACTTTCGATGAATTCATCTATGGTAACGACTCCATCTTTATTTTTGTCCATTTTCTGTTCAGGAAGAAAAGAACGAAAAAGTTTGCTCAGACTTACCCCTTGATACCCTCACACTGAACTGAACAAGCTGTAGCTGATGAAAACAAAGCCCAGCTGCTTATTTTATGGGGAGGAACTGCTTCAGAGCACAAACTAGTAGCTTCTTAGTGATAAGAATCGTGGCTGTTCAAAGAATTTTAGGCTGTTGCCTTTTCAATAGGATGTGGTATAGATCTAGAGTCACTCTGTTCTAGTAAAATCCTGCCCTCCAGCTATGACAGACTTCAGGCAACTTGCTGAAACTTGCTGAGCCTTGGTTTTCTCATCTGTGAGATGGGGCTAATGAGGATTTATAAATAACCTCATAGGGGCTTGTGAGAAATGAATGAAAACAAACACCCCAAAATATGTGAGACATGGCAATTGCTTGGTGTTCTATCCAGGATATGCTGAGTGTTCAATAAGTGGAGTTATCCATATTATGATAAATTCAAAACCAAAATTACTAAATTAGTATGATGGTAAATATTCTATAGTTTTGTCTCTTTCAGTAAAAATTATTTTCCTTTACATTCTTTTGAATCATCACGATGCTTTGCAATCAGGAAATTTGCTCTTAATTTCACTTCCTCTCTGACTTCTATTGCATTCCTACCTGGAAAAATGTTTCAACGTGTTGTCTGGGAGCATCTTCTTTGAGGACAGGATATGTGCATTTACCCATCATATCGTATATCGCTTTCATTATATCAAGCATTTCCTGAAAAGGAAAAGGCAGTCACATGAAGCCACATGCAATGTGAAAATAAACCACTCTGAGAAGCTTTGACAGATTATTCCTACTCAATTTCAAATTTTTTATTTTTCTTTGAGTCTTCATTAAATGTCTTGGTTGTCCCAGAGGAAAAGCCAATGGCCTTATGCCTTAAAAGCAGCAGAATCAGAATGTAAGAATCAAGTCGGATCTTGGTTTCAAAATGAATGAAATTCCCATGTATCTAACGTGATCAGGAAAGAAACATTCTGGTTTAATGTTTGGACTTCTGTCGACTTCACATTGGCTATCTTTGCTTTATTGAGTTATTATATATTTTATATGTTGATTATCAATTTCTGTTTATTGAGAATAAAATAAACACATCATGAGAATTATACTAAAACTAACTGATAAGTCTCAACGCTCATTATGGTCTTCATTGCGTTTTTCCTACTGTGGCTTTAACTAAAGTCACACATGTAGATTAGTCAAAATATGACCCTGGAAACACGTCGAAATTTTAATTTTTTAAATCAAAATCTAGTTTTTGATTTGTAATTTTCAATCTTAGTGAAAATAATATCTAGTTAACCTAGACATTCAGATTTATTGTTTACACTTGTTTTCTTCATATCAAAGTTTCCACAGAAGAGTATGGATTAAGTCGATAATATGGATGTAATATATATTTACTTCTGAGAGTATTCAATTCCATTTTAAATGATAAAGCGGTTTGTAGTTTGTAATTTTACGTGAAGCCCTTTAAGATGTTTTGAGCATAGAAGTTTGCTTGACATAGAATTCATGAGATGTGTTGGGTATAAATGGTAAGAACAGCATGTTTATGTTAAACATAGAAAGGGATCAAAGGACCAAGAGACACCTAATATCCTGGAGGCACCTGAGTACTAAATGTTTATTGTGTACTAAATATACAAGAGACACTATATATACTATGTACTAAATATACAAGAGACATTAAGTCTCCAGGAGATATGCAGGAGCCACGCATTTGTGAGACCCATCTGGCCCCATGTGTCTTCTGCTCAACAAATAAAACCCATGGCCATTGATCAGGTTAACTGTCACATTGTAACTGTGGTCAGGTGAACTTGTCCCTGTGTCTTCAACAGAGCAAGTAGATGTCATTGGCCCAAGATAACCTTCTATTTGAAGAGCCCAATGCTCAGAACTCAACTCGGGGGAAAGCTAGTGAGAGAAAGAGGACATATGGACATTGAACCACATCCAGGCTTTAGGTAATGTGGTCTTTCAACCCTACCTCCACTCCATCCTAAATTTGTTATCTTACCCCATCCCTCCCCCCTTGCTTCTTGCTGTGTTTTAAATTAATTTATTAAACCACTTAATATGAGCATCTGAATTTGGTCTGTGAGGCTTCGTTTTTAGATAGCCCACGTGGGAGTTTATTTGGGGCTCCACTATCACATCAGGTCATTTCCCACACAGTACAGGTCACTACATAATCCACACGATTTTAAAATTGCATCTGTTTCCATATGGCCCGCATTATATGATAGAAAAAAGGTTATAGGCCAAATATTCTAACGTGTGGATATATTTTCTTCCTATTTGATTCCAACTACTATCTTTATTCCATGTACAGTATTCATTAAAATGCTATTAGGAAATCAGGATGTAATCCTTCTATGTTTTTTGTTTTTGTGGTACGCGGGCCTCTCACCGTTGTGGCCTCTCCCGTTGCGGAGCACAGACGCGCAGGCTCAGCGGCCATGGCTCACGGGCCCAGCCGCTCTGCGGCATGTGGAATCTTCCTGGACCAGGGCACGAACCCGTGTCCCCTGCATCAGCAGGCGGACACTCAACCACTGCGCCTCCAGGGAAGCCCTCCTTCTATGTTTTATATTTACTTTGAAGATTAACCATAAACTATTTCTAGCATTCCAAATTTTTCATCAGAATATTTCCCCAGCACTACAGAAAATATTTTAGACTTCCTGAAAAAGTGATTCTAAAATAATAATTGTGATTGTTTAACATTTTGAAGTGAAAAAATGAAAATGGTCTGAAGACTAGCTGTGTTGGTGAGGCATTTCTTACTTCTTTAGTGATGTAGCCATCTTTATTTATGTCATACAAATTAAATGCCCAGTTGAGTTTTTCTTGTACTGTCCCCCGGAGCAAAATGGAAAGACCCTTGATGAAATCCTAAAAAAAAAAAAAAAAAAAAATACAATTTGATATGACATTTCTAAAAAAGAAAAGTAAACCACAAACTCTAATAAAATTCTCTGTCAAATGATGGAAGCAAGGGTTACAACCCTTTGGATTTTGAACCATTTATTTAGCAAAATGGTCCATGTGTTCCTGATTATCTTTTTTCCCAGAGATTTTTTGTGGGCATAAACCACTCCTTAGGTTTAATATTCTTACTTTCTAATTGGAGACTGTGACTTAAATCAACTGTGGAACTGGAAATTGTGTCAGAATAGACACCCAAACAACAAGACGCATGTGTATAAGTGGTATTACTTTCCACTACAAGTGCACACAATTCTTTTACTGAAAAGAATCTAATAACATTGTAACTTAAAAAATACAAGCACATACATAAAACACACTTCCCATGAACAAGATCTGCTAACAAGAAATATGGGCTGTCCTTAAGATATAGGCCAACTGAAGGCTTTATTTAGAAATCAAGTTATAATATGCATGGGGGCAGAAGTTAAGAGAATGGAGCTGAAAGCCAGGCTGCCTGAATTCAGATTCCAGCTGTTTAATCTGATAGCTCTGTCCTCAGACAACTTACCATCCTTTTGCCTCTATTTTCATATCTGTAGAAGGGAGATGTTAGTATCTACTTCTTAAATTTTTTATGAGGATTAAAAGAGTTAAGCTGTTTATAACAGTGTCTGGCAAGGGCATCGGCTATGTGTTTGTCCAAGTAAATGGAAACCTCAGTCAGTATCACTGTTAGGCTGATATGACTGAACCACAGACAAACCAGATTAACTTGATCAAATTCATATATATTTGTTGTTCTGTAGGCAGGGTTAACATTACAATATGGTGAATTCTGATCTCACATAGAACTGACAATCTGTAGTTAGGTAGGAATGAAAGAGCAGAAGGTGTTACCAAGTCCAAGCTTTCTCTGCTCCCCGCAGGACAGGCCAGTAAATCTTGAGATGAGGTGTTGAGGCAAGGAGTATGACTTTATTCGGAAAGCCAGCAGACCGAGAAGATGGCAGACTGGTGTCTCAGAAAGACCATCTTATCAGGGTCTGGATGCCAGTTTCTTTTATAGAACCGAGAGAGGGAGGAGGTGAGGAAGTAAAGTAAAAAGGCCATGAGTCTTGCAAATATCTCCTGGAATGGCCAGCCTCAGGGAGGGGATGTGTTAATTTCTTCTTTTCTAGCAGCCATTCACAGGTGGACAGGGTCAGGATGCTTCCCTGAAAAAAGGCACTTTGGTTTACCATTCAGGCAGAGGGGCAGTGTTCCGAGAGGCAGGCCATTATGTATAGACAGTATCCTCTTAGTGAACAAAAGCAACAGGGGAAGCAAAGGCTAAAGTAAAACAGATCCAACACGTAGTCAGATTTTGTTCTTCCCTGTAACAAAGGGAAATGCAGAAGTGGCCTCTGGGTGAATTTGTATTCTCTCTACATTTTTACATTCAAACATTTTGTAATTGTTTTCCTGTCTTAATTTCTTTAAATGCTTTTCTTTTTTAATGGGTGACATTCATGTAGTTCAAAATTTTAAAATATATAAGATTACTGATAAAAAGTATTCCTCCCATTCTTGGACCCTAGCCACCCTATTTCTTAGCCCTAGACAACTGGCATTAGTAGCTTCTTGTATTCACTTCCGAAGAATTTTTGTGCATATACAAGTGTAAGGCATATTTATTTACACAAATGATAGTCTAACAGGCTGTTCTGTACTTTATTTTATTTTTAACTTAGCAATAAATCTTGGAAATAATTCCAATCTTTTTCACTGTTGCATATGTATGAATATATCATAGTTTATTTAACCAATCTCCCATTGATGAATATTTAAAGATTTCCAGTCTTATTAAAAACAAAGCCATAAAGAGTGACCTTATACATACATAACTTACATTTTGAACAAGTATATCTGTAGGATGAGTTCCTAGAAGTGGAATTGCTGGGTCAAAGGATTTGAACATTGGTAAATTTTATAGTTATTTTCAAATTCCCCCCCAAATTTCCCTCTCAGAATCTGTATATGAGAATAGTATAGCTTGTCAATACTATATGCTATCAAATTTTTTATCTTTTTCAATCTTAAAGGTTAATATTTCTTTCTCAGATTACTTAAAATTTGTATTTATTATGAATAAATCTGAGCATTTTTTCCAAATGTCTTGATTTATAGAAACGCTTCACATATTAGTGAAATTAGCCCTTGTCTGGGATATATCTTCAAGTATTATTTCCCAGTTTATCATTTCTCTCAATTTTTATTATGTTGATTTTTGTAAAGTAGGCATCTTTTTATTTTTATATTCTAGATTTTGTCAGCCTTTTACTTTATATTTTTTGGTTTCTGTCATATTGTAAGAGGGTCCCCCTCTTACAGGGACCCTTGGGATTACATTGGGCCCATCCAGATGATCCAAGATGATCTCCCCATCTCAAGATCCTTAATCACACCTGCAGAAAACCTCCTTTACCATGAAAGGTAACACATCCTACGTCCGGCCATTAAGATTGGACACTTTTGGTGGGTCTTTATTCAGCACACCAAACTCTAATACATTTTAAGGCCTTTTGTTTTTTCCAAGTTGTTCTTTCACATTTCTTAGTCATATTTATTTCTAGGTATTTTAATCCTTCTGTTGCTGTTATAAAGGAGGCCACAAGAATTCCTTAGTAGGCAGAGAAAAGAAGAGACGCAGGCAACAAATCTTGAAAATAAGTTTCCCAGGAGGTAAGAGAGGTCAAGAGAAGAAAGCATTTCACTAGGAAAGGATGGTTCATCTTGATACCAGTCCGCTGGGGAATGAAAAGAGCTTACTGAGTCAGCAACATGGAGGTCACCAGTGACTAAAGGGAGAAGTTTCAGTGGAGGGGAGGGAGCAAAGAGTGATAGAGACTGTTAGAAAATTCACCAACCATGGCTGCATGTGAAGACAGAGGGACAGGGCTATATCTGAAGAGGAGGACAGGATCACAGAAGAGAGTTTTGAAGATGAGCACTCTGAACACTGAAGGGACGAATCTAAAAAGAGGAAAATACTAAAGATGTGTGTGTGAGAGAGAGAAAAAAAAAGACAGAGAGAGAGAGAGAGAGAGAGAGAGAGAAATGGACTACTCCTGCGATGGTGGGAGAGATGGAGATGGTCTGCCCTGAGAAGGGAGGAGGCACATTTCCAGAAGGAAGAAGGGGACCACCATGCGATGCCCACAGCTGAGAAGAGGTGGGAAGATGATCGAGTCCTCATCCGAGACCTTTAATGGGTGTTGTCTGCTTGGGAGTGAAGGACATGGTGGAAAGGATACGAACTGAAGGTTTGAGGAGAGAGGAGGAGGCAGCTCTGCTCCTGGACAAAAAGGTGACTTGTGCAAATTACAGGAAGCTGCAGCTCCCTCAAAATATTTTTCTGCCATCTGCTGGAAAACTGTTGTAATATATTTAAACCTGTAGTATATAATATACTGTAATTAAGAGGTAATGACCCTCCTTGGAGTTTTGTAGTATACAACTTGCAAACTATATAAGCTTTGGCTTTTTTGGAAGGTATAAAATAGTCACTGCAGAGCATGGGAAGGTAGGCTTACCAGAGAAGGATTGCGGGACAATTTTGAAAAGCCAGATGAGGTGGATGGTTATCAATCCACCTGTCACTTCAAATCACAAAGTAATAGTTATATGCCATTAGCTGAAAAGAGAGGCTGGACACAACATCCATGAAGATATGCTTAGAGCATTGGTTTCAAAATGTAGATTGCTGCAGAATCACCTGGAGGGCTTGCTGAAACAGCTAAAACAGCTTGCTGGGTCCCACCCCAGAGCTCCTGATTCATTAGGTCTGGGGTGTGGCTCAAGAATTTACATTTCTAATAAATTCCAAGGAGATGCTGATACTGCTGGTCCAGGGATTCTTGGCCTGCAAGAATCATCACGGGCATTGGCCCCATCAGCAAGCAGAACAGGCCAGAGCAACAATGAGAGATTTAAGGTCATGTGTGGACTTTTGTTGTTTGCCTCCCCAGTTGGCCCCTATTTCCATTTGGTGCTCCATCCAATTCTGTGGAAGCGCACTCCATCTGTGGCTCTAGTGATGGAGCCATACCCTGGGCAAAATCAGGAAGCACCTTTTATTCCTTTGGTCAAGGCAGTTGGATCTGTGGTTGGCCTGCAACTGAACCCAGTCTACATGAGTGATTTTCAGGACTTCTGCTAGGAAGGGGTATGACAGGATACTTTTTCTTTCCTCCCTGGGGAAAAATCAAGCCTGGAGCTCAGGAGCTGCTGGCATCTTCTTGTAACCACGAGGGAGCCCACTCTTAGGTTGCAGCCAGACCTGTCTCTGGACTTCTTATTCTTTTTTTTCTTTTTTAAAAAAAATTTATTTATTTTATTTCTTTCTTTTTGGCTGCATTCGGTCTTTGTTGCTGTGCGTGGGCTTTCCCTAGTTGCGGTGAGTTGAGGGCTCCTCTTCATTGTGTGCGGGCTTCTCGTTGCGGTGGCTTCTCTTGTGGAGCACAGGCTCTAGGCACACGGGCTTCAGTAGTTGTAGCACGTGGGCTCAGTAGTTGTGGCTCGCAGGCTCTAGAGCGCAGGCTCAGTAGTTGTGGCTTGCGGGCTTAGTTGCTCCACGGCATGTGGGATCTTCCCAGACCAGGGATTGAACCCGTGTCCCCTGCATTGGCAGGCGGATTCTTAACCACTGCGCCACCAGGGAAGCCCCTGGACTTCTTATTCTTATGAGCCAATACAGTTATATTGTTTTTGTTAGTGTATGATTTTCTATTATTTGTGAACAAAAGTACCCTGATTCACAAGCTGACATCTAATTCCCATCTTTCTCTTAAATACTATGTATCCTGAAACTGCATACATTGAAAGATAGCTATGAACCTTGAACACCCCTCTCTCTTTTAATATACCATCTTGCAGGATGATATCAATAAAGTCATTTCAGAACAGGAAATAACTATTTGTGCAAA